AATAGACTTATCGCTAAACTCAGACATTTAAGTCAATTTTTTAGGGTATAATCTTGACCACGCCATATTTTTTTTTTAGAAAAACAATAACATTATATAATACTTTGGTTTATTAATCCAATAACTTTCTAACCCTCGAACCTAAAACCTTAATAATGTGAAAAATGTATATTTTTTTGTTAGATAATTTTCTTAAAAATCGTTTTTTTAAGTCAAAAAAAAAACAAAACAATTATTGGACAAAATAAATGTGCGATTAATTTTTGCTAGGGGAAGCTCCATTTAAATTTATTTGTAATTAACCTGGACAAAATCTTTCTTTAGAACATATATTTAGTTTTAGGTGGGTCTCTTTGTTCCCCTAACATGATTCTGGAGCGTATTACCCCGTAACTGATGGGGAAGGTGGGAGCAAAACTATTTGTATATATGTTTTACATTTTTGTACCATAGAAATGAAAAGCAAAACAGAACAATTTTTTTTTTTAACTTTAGGAGCTGCTATGATTTTGTCAAGTGTGACGTTTTCTTTCTTTCTTTCTTTCTTTCTTTCTTTCTTTCTTTCTTTCTTTCTTTCTTTTTTTCTTCCTTCTTAACAATAAAAATATTAAAATAAAGTTTGTCACCCTTTAATTGTTTTATCGAGGTTATTATGTCTAAAATAAAACTTGAAAAAAAAAATATTAAATAAGTTTTTTTTAAATATTTATATATAAATTTTTTTTAAAAAATCATACTTTTTGGTGAAAATTTTAAAATTTGTGGTAATTTTTGAATTTTCTTATGAAAATAAATTATTGTTTTTTTGACAGCCTGTCGCTGGACAAAATATAACAACAATTTAAACTTAAGTTTCAACATATGTAGGAGAAACCGGGGTTGTATTATTCTCCATAAAAAAAAACTGAGGGGCTATAAAAAAAAAATTAATTTTTTAAAATAATTTAAACTTATAACTTTATTTTTTTATGGAAAATGTACGGGGGGACGTATTACCCTTTTATGAGGACGCTACATTTTTTCTTATACGAAAGACAATATCCTAATTTTAAGGTGTCCAAAAACCGTTCTATCAATTAGTTGATGGGAAGGTCATCACTAAAACGATATTACTATCAGAGCATAATCACAGCGGCATCAATGCATTGGTGGGTTAGAGTGCATGGTATGGTTTAGTGATTTACATCGGGCCTAATTTTTCAAACCCTACCCGGCCCGAACTTTTTTTTAAAAAGCTTTGCCCCGGTCCGAATTTATTTAAATATAGAAATTAATTTTTATAATTAATCAAAATAAAAGGTATATGTTAAATGGCGTCTGGTTTGAATCATTAAAACTTTTTTTTTGCCTTGATACTAGTGCCTAGCATATTTAATAAAATGCCTAATTCTCTGTTAGCATCCATCCAAAACAATTACCAATAAACACTACAAGGAGCTAGGACATTTTATTGGTATAACTATATATTATTATAACCAGTTTCATTCATGTCATGAATATCACCTGGCAGGAACTTATTGTCATTTGTTAAATAATTTTTTTAAACAGATCAACCATTTTCATATTTGAAGGGGGGGGGGGGGCAGAATGGTCATTGGCAGCTGGGTGTAGATACCCCAGTTCTCATCAAGGAACTAAAATCTACTTGTTTTTAGGATGTCCTGGAAATAATCTTGATCCAAAAATACTGTTAAAATTAGATTCTTTGTATAACTTAATTACAATAGCTTTCCTCAACTTTTTTGTATCTATTTACACTTAGTTTATTAAACATAAATTTCATTAAATACCACTACCAGGCATAACTTAAATTAGTATTTGTATTTAATGCCATTTAACTCTCAGAAGTAAACCTCATCCCCCCATCAAAGGATTTCCTATCTTATTTGTTTTTCTAATATAATTTTAAATTTTTATTAATGACATTTGCATACAAAAAAAAGCTAATACGCACCCCGTTAAAACGACTACCCCATGTCCTTAGATTCATTTAAAAGTTAATTTTAGGATATTATATCTGCTCCATTATTTCCAATTATATTTTTAACATTAATATAACTGATTTAAAAGTTACATTTATGTATATACTTTTTTAAAATTTTATATTTTGCCTTTTAAAAATTATTTTCACGAGCAATTTTGTATGAAACATTTAAGCGTTTTATTAAAAATACATATTTATTAGGTTTAAATAATTTAAAAACAAGTGTGGAATTAATTTTATTATTTTTTTGGAAGAATATACTTGCCCGTTCACAAATGTTCACCGTTCTACACTTAGTTTTTAGTTTTACACAACATAGTCTTACTGCTTACGGCCTCGAACTTAGTAATAAAGCTAAATAAATGCTCCTTTTTAATCATACTAAATCCCGACCATTTATCATCCGTCTCACCAGAATTAAATAATAAATAGACTATTCATAAGGTATCTCACTAGGTATTTATTATATTTGATACCTATTAAAAGATGGTAAGATACTATTTTATTGTAGTTTATAACTTAAATCATAATAAGTGAATGAATTTTTTTTTATAGTAGTAATAATAAATTTAAAACAATCGTGATATATTATTGGTTAATCTGTAAAATGATAAAGTATCCCTTAAAGTTTTAATTTAATTCAATTTAATTTAATATTTGACAGTTGTTTGTAATACTTTAAAACAGTATTTCTATATCTATATCTATTTCTTCTTATTCTATATTTTCTCTCTTTTCTTTCTACTATAATCGAATCATTTACTATAACGGTATTGGGCTAGTTCCACTCAATAATTTAGTTTCATCTGGAGTACAAGGTTTGTCGGTAACCTCGAGAAAAAAATCGCCATTGAGCAGGTCTTTACGCGGTTCGGCCGTATTTGATTTCCGCCTTCCGCGTTGCCTGTTTTTATTAATAGATAATGCGTAAGAGCCAGTGAACACGCTTTCAAGTTATTAAACTCCTATTTTTTAAATTTTAATAATATTTATTTTTTTAAAAGTTACCAAGAGCTATGACAGTTCAGAAAATTTTATGGAAGATGACAAGAAACCCGATATAGCTTCCTTACAATCCAGTTTAGTCAACGGTTCCTTAGACCCCTTAAAAAATGAAATATCGGTAATATTATATTTTTTTTTGGTCATTTAATTTTCGCAGGAATTTTGATCCCAATTCCTTGCCATTATTTTTTAGGTATTTAAAAATCTTTTAGTGTGGTTAAACGGCTAGATTTGAGCTTTAAATACGGCTAACTCAATATTTTATCCGGAAAATTATTACGCGATCCTTAAAGATTTTGGTTCACAGATGTTACAAAGATTTGGATCTTTTAGCGAAATCTCAAGGTTTTAGGCTCTAATTTTTTCTGGCTAGGATATTGGGTTAATAACCATATTTATAAAATCGACTTCCAACACTTACTTCATATATATTAAATTATCAGATAATTTGTTATTACCCCACGCTATCATTGCTAAGAACGAATAGGGGGAGAGATCTGGGACTGGGGCACAATGGCCTCTTTTTCTTTAAACTCGATAAATTCAATCGTATTTTATCTAAGGTATTTTTTCGATCTTACAAAGAACCTAATTATCTGAAATCAATTAAACCCCCTAGACCCTTCAGCGCAAGATATTTTTCCGCGTAAAACATAATTTCTAAAATGAAAAAAAAATAAATGAGCTAAAATGGTGGAGATGGATTGCTTATATAAAATGCCATTCAGAAATCATCCCAAAATATTTTGAAATCTAAAATGCGACGAAACAGCATGGGGCTCGAAGCTGCATTATCCACCAATAGAAGTGTTTTTAGGGATTAGATCTCCCGCCGATCTTGCTCTCACTGTCTTTACTTCCGGCAGTCTACTTTCGAAATCCGCAATCACGTCCCCACACCTCGCAAAACAATGATTTTTCCCTAGATGATTGCTATCCAGCTTTTTAACGAATTGCCAAATTTTATTCACAAACATGGCAATGGTTATATTGTAAATGTGAAATGGCTTAGTGTGATTGTAATATATTATAACAAAAATTTTAAATTTGATTTATAATAGTAAACTTGACAATTACATATAAGGAATAATGTTATATTTATGCCACTGATATGCATCAGTTAACCTTTTTTTTAAATTAAATCCTTTGTAATTTTGTCCCACATGTTGGATCAAATATTATTTGTGTTTTTTAGGCGAAAATCATTCCCTAAAATATTCACTTTTTTTTTTGCATATGGAAAAGAAATTTTTTTTTTTTTATAATACAGTGTTGGTGCAAAATTTAATTTCATAAAAAAAAAAAACATTTCCATAAAATTATTTAATTTGTTAAAATATATATAAAAATAAATTAGATGATAATCTGTTAAGAAATGACTAAATTTTTTTTTTTACGGTACTAAAAGTATATACTTTCATTAATTAAAATTTCGGAAAAAATAGGTAAATATCGTCGAATAAAGGAGAAAAGTATGATGTTCCATCTGCACAACAACTGTAACTTAAAGCCATAACATTACTATTGGCGTATTATTTAAGATTTAAGCTGAGAGGGGTCAATCTGGAATTGTACCGACCCCCAGGGCCGAAACTGGGCGAGGGCGAGCAGCCCAAAATTAGACAATTTTAGGGGCGCCAAATTTTTTTAATTTTATTCGAATCATATTTAGCTCTTGAAAAATAGTAATTTTTTTTTTAGGTATTCGGAATTTGTGAGAAATCCGATTTAACCGCTTCTAGCATCTGCAGAGTATTTACTCTATAAATTTCAGCCATAGACATTTTAAGTATTTTTTTTTTTTTTAAATAATTTATAAAGAAAAATCCGTAAAAAAAATTTATATAAATTAGAAGTATAGTTTCTAAAGTTCGTGGCAAAATTGGCTGAGATTTATCGGGTAAATTCTCTGTTCGTGTTAGAATACATTTCCGGTTAAATCGGACTGTAAAAAATTTTTTAAATCGTCCTCGGTTAAAAGATTTAAAATCAAGGGAATCCGAATCCCCATAATATAACGAGTTAGAATTATTTTTTGCCCTAGCCACTAAGAATCACGGCACGGCACTGACCACCCCCCCCCCCCCCACATACCTCGAATTGAAATTCTAGATATGTCACTGATGCGCAGTAATATAAATAATTTTACTAAAATTATTTATTTTAAAAAAAAAAAGCTTTTATATTATTTGTTTTTATATTAATACATTAATTACATTATTAAAGTAAGTTTATATACAGTTTTATTCGATATAATTTTTATTTTATTCTTTTCTTTTAATAATTTTAAATTGTTTTATATTAAGTAACTAACTAGACACAAAGGCTTTGGGAAAACTAATTTTTTTTATAAAGATATGTATAATTTTTAGATAAAGTTCTCAAAAGTTTTGTTGTTTTTTTTAAAGGGAAGAAAAAGGGGGTGTGCTATTTTAGATAAGTTTTGATGTGTTTTTTTTTTAAATATAAGCTGTTTTTTATATTTTTGAAAATGTTTTTTTATAATAAATATATCACGCGTCTTTCAATTAGTTTTAATTTTACGTTAGTGTGAAGAATTATTAATTCTTGTTGGCATTTTGGCGATAACTTATTTGGTAACTTTTTTTAAAAAAATATTTTTTCAACATGCGCCATCTAGTAAGTAACTGAAAGTACCTAAAAAAAAAGCCGGACAAGTTAAAAATGATTAATTACGGATCAAGGCAAAAAATTGATTAAAATACTTCCATGGTAGATTTTTTAGATAACAGAACTCCCCTAGATAATAGAACTTTCCTAGATAATAGCAGCATGACATTATATTGTCGCGTTTTAAAACGACTCTACACAAGAATATAATACGAAAATCTCATTTTCACCAATCTGATTTCGGTCTATCTAGTCTAGTGATCTGCATCGGCCTAATTTTTCAAGCCCGGCCTGGGCCAGACCAGAACCCTAAATTTTTTTTTAAAAAAAAAATTTACCGGCTAGCCCTAATTTTGTTAAATTATAGAAATCAATTCTCAAAATATATATGTTATATGGCGTTCTAGTTTCTAATAAAATCAAATATTTTTATTTTACATAAAATAAAATTCAACATATAAGTAAAGAAAGAAAGAAAGAAAGAAAGAAAGAAAGAAAAGAAAGAAAGAAAGAAAGAAAGAAAGAAAGAAAGAAAGAAAGAAAGAAAGAAAGAAAGAAAGAAAGAAAGAAAGAAAGAAAGAAAGAAAGAAACGTTAATATTTTATTAGATGATTTAAAACAAATATACAAAAAAATCAAATAAAAAAAAAATGACTTTTTTAAACTTAAGAAATATTACTAACTTAAGAAATATTACTTTAAAACTATTTATTTAAACGACCGGGTTCGGAAATCGTGGTTTTTTCTTATCCTATTGTGATTTGTATTATGGAATAATAGATAGATCACAAGTGTGAAATTTTAAATATAAATAAATTATGTGTATAAAAAAATTTTTCCCTTTACGAATCTTACACTATATTACACAGGCATATTTATGACGGCATTTTTTGTTAATAAAATCTTCGTGGTTAAAAAGAATAAGGAAGAAGAAAAAAAATTTTTACTATCAAGATAGGAATTTGAATCGGATACGATTTAATGATTTTATTTGTTTTATTTTTTTCAATGAATCCAATCTTTCCTTTCCCATTCCACTCACATCTTTTTTTTTAAAAAATCATTATATAATTAACTAATTAATTATACTATAGACACAAATCTTTTTTATCAATATTTTTAATCATGAACGGGATCAAATCCGTTCATCATCCAATCTTATCAATCCCGAATCTCGTTATCTCAACTTTCTCGAAGACCACCAGAAAATAATATTCGTTCTTGAATTTCGAATCGGATAATTTGATATTCGGTTGTGCTAATCGAATAATACGGTTCGAATAACTCATAAAAACGAATTTTTCATAAAGATATGCCATTTTTCGATAATTTTATTTGTTTAGGTATTGAAACCTATTAAAAAAAATTAACTTGATGTTAAAACATTTGATTACAAATGGAATTACAATTACGTGTATTTTGCAATAAATTTATACAAATATAATTACAAATTTTTATTACTCCTATCCGAATCAAATAATTTATTATTCGTAATTCGAATCAAATAATTTGATATTCGTATTTGCAAATTTCGAATCGAATATCAAATAATTTTCGATTATGCCCTTTTAAAGAAAATTTTTGACGAAATTTAATTTTTAAGAGAAAGTTTATTATAATAATAATAATATCAAATAGATATTATCTAATTATAATTGGTCAATCAATTAAATAATTTAATGTTTACCATATTTTGCACTAAAACCAGATGGTGGTAGCCCGTCTGTGCCATTAAATCTAGATATTCATTATCTATGAATCTGAAACGTAAACTGGAGCCTGGCAAATCGACCATATAACCCCGGGGCGGTCTTATATTTTTTTTTTAAAAGCAGGTCCTGGCTGAGGCTTAAAAAATTGGGCCAGTAGAAAAGATTTTTTTTTTTGAAAATGTTTTCTATCAATTTTTAAATAACGATTTTTCTTCTACAAATAAAACGAATTTCTTCTACAAATAAAACTATTTTTTTCTGGATTTAGCAAATCATTACTGTTCGGGCTTCGGGTTTTCTAAGATTGTAGGAAAAACTGGGATCGAGTTGACTCGGATTCCGTCCCTCCACAAAAAATTGCTTTTTATAAAGGGTTTATTCTAATAAAATAGTTAAACCCTCCCTCCCTCCATGTTTATTTTAGGAGAAACTAAATTGCTAATGATGAAATGACATTAACTTTGATACTCTTTTGGGGGCCATAGAATCGCCGCCATATGAGGTTAAAATAAAATTTTGCATCTCTCGCGGGGCGGGTTTAAAAAAAAATTAAAACGACCGGTTAACGGTTTGGCGGAATTAAGCAGAAAGAACCAATCCATGGCCGGCAAATGATTACGGAATAAACAGAAAGAACCAATCATCATTTTTTTAAAAATTAGTGTGGACGGGCTAAATAATTTAAATAAATGGAAGAATCTTCATTACCCCTTCGCCTTATCTATTATTATCAAAATGGGTTATTTGTCTTAGTTATTGTAATATAATACCATTTTAAGTTACAATTTTTTTTTGTGATATATAGATAAGGTTTAAGGGCAGAAAGAAAATGGATTTTTGTTTCGGACAAGATACTTAGAAACTATAAGCAAATTTATTTATACACCATATATTAATTTTTCGAGATTAATAATAGATACAAAATTACAGTGGGTAAAACCAGTTCAATTAGGCCAACTTGCCTCCTTGAAATTCCCTAAAATTAAAAATGAAATGGTCATATAGTTATGACATGAAAAAGAAATCTCTACAATTTCGTTAAATTTATCTAAGAATAAAGGTATTTATATATATATATTATAGTACCTACCTACTAGTGTTGTTAAATGGCTACTCAATATTTCACCCAGAATACTATTACGCAAGCCTGAAGATTTTGTTTGTAGAAGCAAACAAAGGTTTGGACATCTATTAGTCAAATCTCGAGACTTAGGCAATATTTTTCTGGCTTAAAATATTGAGTTAGCAAAATTCGGCTCAAAACGAGCCGTTAATCAACTCTACTACCTAACCTACCTATCTTCGATTAACTTTGGTTTTCACATCTAAATCTAAATTATTCATTATTTTTAATAAAGATTATAATCGATTTTGGATTTGTATTCTACGAGTATACGAGTAAGCAAAAATGTATTTAATCGAATTATTTTGAAATTATTGATTATTTAAAGTTATTCGATAAATATTTTTAATTAATTATTATGTAATATTTAAAACATGTTCGCCCGGGAATATTTTTTTTTCTTTCTGATTTTCCAACTCCACAAATTTTTTTTATATAATTCCATTTTTAATCCGAATATTCGACAAATCAAATCCATATTAAATTCGTTTACGAATATGAATTAGGAATTATTCGTTTCGTACGATTCGGAAAAAACGCATCGAATACGAGTAATACGATTATTCGATAAGTTTTGACTTATTTAAAAATAAAAAATATATATAAGCGTTTTGTATAGCGATAATCAATGTAACGGCTCTATTCGAGCCGATTTTTAAAAAAGGCTAACTCGATGTTTTATTCAGAAAAATATTATGCAACCTTAAAGATCTTGCTTATAGATGGCACAAAGGTTATTATTCGTTTCGTACGATTAGGAAAAAACGCATCGAATACGAATAATACGAATATTCGATAAGTTTTGACTTATTTAAAAAAATATATATAAGCGTTTTGTATAGCCATAATCAAATGTAACGTCTCGATTCGAGCCGATTTGCAAAAACGGCTAACTCAACGTTTTATTCAGAAAAATATTATGCAACCTTAAAGATTTTTCTCATAGATGTAACAAAGTTATGACATAAACATCTATTAGCGAATCACGGGGTTTAGACAATATTTTTCTAGCTTGAAATATTATTTTAGAGACCCCACGTCATTTTTCCTTTTTGTATAAACCCTTGAAGTTTAAAATAAATATAAAAAAAATTTATATATATATATATACTAAGGCAAATTGTTTGTTATATTATTTTATCTCTTTTTTCAGGAAAATGAAACCAAACCTCTCCCACAATACATTCTCATAAACGGCTTTCACAGAAACAACGATTCGACCAATGATAACCGTAACTTATATCCCTTTCAGGAAATGTCTCAGCTGAAAGGTTTTTACCAAATTATGTTTAAATATTTCAATCGCGAATTCATTTAAAATCATAATTAATTTAGTTTTTCCTCCTCTTAATGGTTTAACGGTGCAGATTTGCCCGACTAGATTTTCTTGGCTGATTCAGAGCATTAATCAATATAATTTGAAAGAAGAAAAAAATTGATCATTTATGTCCACTAGAAAAATCTTGACCATTAATGGGTTAAACTCTCCCGCCAAATTAAAGGCAAGATTTATGTATAATTTAAATATTTTTTTTGCATATTGTAAACAATTCCAGAGACCAATCAGAAGTCGAGCCTAGATAGGCTCAGTTTGATAGTCGATAGAATATCGCCGAAGATGGAAGACGGGTGCCAACAAAATCAACAACTCCTTTCTCCGCCGCTAATCGCTTCTTCCAATTCCATCGCAAACCAATAAATAATAATAATATATTTTATTAATAAATTTATAAAAAACATTTATCGAATCATGATTCATGATTAGTTTTACTAAATTTTTATTAAAAGTTAAAGTTATATATAATATTAATTATTTTTTTAATTTAAATATAAATTTTTGATATAAATAAAATTTTTATCCGTTGTATTTGAAGAGAAGGAATTATTTTAAAATATCTTTTCAAAATATCTCGTTAATATTTTATCGAGAAACACTTGTGCTCAATGTATCAATTTCGATTTAAATTTTTTTATTTTGAAGATATTTTTTTTTAAAAAATGTAAAAAATAAATTTAAAAACAAATTATTTATGATTAGATTGATAAAATAACCTAATTTTTTTTTGAAATAATTTTTGAACCACAATTTTTGGTTTTTATAAATATAAATATTTAGTGTGGTTTAACTACCTAACATTTAGTAAACACAAAAACAGATTAGCCATGTATTTATCCAAAAAGAATCGATCTTTAAGTGTAGACTCAAATGAAAGGCTTAATTCAATTTTTTTTTTAGGCTAAGAGCTTGAATATGCCACAATAGAGATAATGTTAGGTAATTTAACATCACCAATTACAATTATTTTTAATATAATAAGAAAATTTTTTAAATCGGAATTATTACCCTCCCGCTAGCCCTATATCATATTCTCTTAAAAAAAAATATTCAAATGAAAAATATCTCTCATAATATCCAGCTTAACTCAATACATAGCCAAGCCCTTACCTAATCTTTATAAAAATTGTAATCGTTAATTAAGACTAAGAGTTAAAACCTTTTATATCCAGCTTAACTCAATACATAGCCAAGCCCTTACCTAATCTTTATAAAAATTGTAATCGTTAATTAAGACTGAGTTAAAACCTTTTATTTGGTAATAAGGGATCTAATTGACCTCAAGGTTTCTAATTTTCTTTTGTACATGAATGGAGTTCGAGGTATAACTTATATAGGGGGAGGCCGGGATGCTCTGGGAACGGAGGAGAGTTAATTTTTCAATTTTATTTTTCTAAAACTATAATCATAATTAGAGCGGAAATTAATATTTAATACAGATAATTGTGACAGTGGGCTTGGGCGAGGAATTTTTCCTGAGGGAGGGATGAGGGTTTCAATTAGCCCCAAAGTCAGCCATATTGGATCTTAGGAATCATCTATTGTTCTAAAATTCTTAGCGATATCATCACCCTGCTCTAATTCTAATTAAAAATTACACAAAATTAAAATTGGGCCCTTTGGTAATTTTCTATTGCTTATTATTCTTATAAGATAAACATAATATTTAATCAAGTTCTATGGAGAAAAAAAAACTGAATTCTCTACTAAAATAAATATGTTTTTAGTTCGGATTTCTTTTACGTTCTCTGATTGGATGGGTAACATGCCAATCCAAAAATATCCTGTATCACCACTTTCGTCACAATGCGATCAGGTTGTTGACGTTTACTCTCATTTGTCTTTGATGATATATTATGAGTGGCAGTAGACGCTTGTTGAGAAAAATATTATTTTTTTATCTCCCCTAAATTCGCTAACCTTTTTGTAAAACCAGTAAATTATTTGCCTGTACATTCAAGTTCATAAATAAAAATCTAAATTCTCAAATAATACCTAAAAAAAATAGAAATAAAATTTGGTATATATTTATCTTATTCGCCAGTATATACTCTCTTTGAAAGACTTATCCATTTTTATTCAGTGATATCCTCTCCTTATTTGCTGTTAACAAAATTGTAAACTAAAATCCATTTCATAAGCGCATCCAGGATTTTGGGGAGGGAACCACTATTAGATGAGGTTTTTTCCCCAAGAATTTTATTGGAGGTCTTTTAGGTCCACTTATCGTAGATCTTTGGTATGAAAAGATAATTTTGGGTTTTCAACTCTTTTTTTAAATATAAAAATACATTTTTTTTTTGAATTATAGTCGTTATTTTCATAATTTATTAACTTTTACCAAATTTTCTTTCAAATTCCTCTTTAGAATAATATATTGTATACACATTTTATTTATTGGGGGTGGGGGGGGCACGCACGCAAATTAGCTATGGGTGGGAGGGAGGGGGTGTTATGTTACCCTTCCTTCATATCTGGTTAAGCGATGGGTTCATTTTGTTATTTTATATTTATTTTAAATTATATAAAGGACATAGAAACAAATATTAATAATAGAATATTATAAAAAGCTATTTTTAATCCACTTTATCACGGGACCTGACCTGATACTGGACCTAGTTATTTGTCCTATTCAAAAATGAAATTTTCTACGGGGGTGGGGGGAGATATTTGAAATGATGTCTTTATGGAGCATTAGAAATTCATCAGAACCCACTCATCATGATATAAAATAAATATATTAGAACTAATCGATGATAATTTCGAACACAAATAAATAAAATATTGGAAATATGTAATAATATTAAGAGCGAAAATATAATGCGGTTAAAAAATATTGCAGCAATCTAAACCGGTTATGTAAAGAGAAGTTAATCAAAATATAACATTTAATCTTCTTTGCGATAACGTCAATCAGAGTTGTGTATCTAGATCCTGTATCTAGATATAAAAATGTGGTATCTGTATCTAGATAGATTTTTGATTAAAATATCTGTATCTATATATTATTTTAGATGGAGTATCTGTATCTAGATCCATTTAAAATCTTTTAACAACTCTAGTCAATCATTTAAGAATTTGTTTTGCGTTGGGGTGGAGATTAGATCCTAGATGAGTAAATCTAATCCCGATTGGTTTTTTATTCTCTGGAATGAAGAAGATGACCTCTCATTTGTGCTTGTACCCTTTGTAAGTTAGGGTTTGTTTCTCTTTATTTTGCTGTATATATTTTTATCTTTATTATAGTTTTTTTTGTTACGCATAATAATTTGGCCGTGTAACAACGCGAAGCATTTGACTTTGTATTGTATAATTTATTAAGACATTTATTTATATTGTAGAATGTGTAAATGGCCGATCTTTAGGCGATATTATGATCATAAAAGATTATTATTTTACTTATTACTTGCTTGATAGGATTATTCGTGTGTGCCAATGAATAGTACTAATTTGGTTATCATTGCCAAATAATTCAATAATTTTTTTTAATATATTAGAAATTATGAAATATATTTTAATGCTTCCCACACCCGGAGCACAGATACCAGACCTGGGGTTCAGATACGTGGTTTAGAGTTTAGATCCAGGGCACAGACCCCTGGTTTAGAGAGTTTCAGTAACAGTTGTAGTTTTATTTTTTAATATACATTTTTTTTTATTCGATAAAATGATTTATTTTAACAGGTGTATTGAAAATTTGGTGGATTGATTTTATTTATTAGTTTAAATAAGAAATTGCAAAGATCACTTCATCATTTTTGTAAAACTTTTGGATATTTGAATTTTATTTTTAAAAAAGAATACATAAAAGCATATTAAAATATAGCAGCGATATTCGTAATGCGTTTTCTTTGATGGATTTGTTATCCATTAGTTTTCATTTTAAAAACTTTTATGAAACCTTGTTATACTGCGAAGCGAATTATGGATATTATCAGTAAATTAATTACACTTTCAGAGTTTGTAATGTGTTTTGATAACAACAACAAAAAAGATTAATCGTATATTTAAAACCCTCATTTCTTTGGCGGATTAACTAAACAATCAACAAGTGCTGGACCAAAGTACCCCGGTAAGATAAGTTGGTCCAAAAAAAAGAATGAGCTTATACTTTAATAGACTTTAATGTGATTTAGAGTAAATTATATTTATCCTATTCGTGCTAAAACGAAACCTTCCCCGACCCCCCTCCCCCATATTTTTAGAAGTTGTTACATAGCTTTCCTTTTCGGAGATATAGTTTTATTAGGGAAAAAGACATGGTGTCTTTTCATTCGCCCCCGAATTCCGCGAAGATTTACCCTTTGCCATCCTACCCACAACTAAATCAAAATTAAAATAAAAAAATGGAATCTGTATCAATACCCCTTTATCCCCCCCCCAATGAAAATAATATATTTCCAAAACACCTCTCTCCGATTTCAATGATAATATTGCCACCTCATCCCCAAGTGGTCGAGATCCCTGCCCTCATCTGATTAGAACTGAAAAATGACCTCATGAGTCGTCGCAGGAAAAAAACAGTCAATGCATGGGGCTCTTGTGAAAACTGATAATCTTGCCATTTTCATATAAATGGTGTAATATAGATTTATATTTATTAGTTTACAAAAATGGATCTTATGAATCTATAAAGAAAAATGACCTCATGAGTTGTGCCAGGAAAAAAGGTACACTCAATGCATGGGGCTCTTGTGAAAACTGATAATCTTGCCATTTTCATATAAATGGTGTAATATAGATTTATATTTATTAGTTTACAAAAATGGATCTTATGAATCTATAAAGAAAAATGACCTCATGAGTTGTGCCAGGAAAAAAGGTACACTCAATGCATGGGGCTCTTGTGAAAACTGATAATCTTGCCATTTTCATATAAATGGTGTAATATAGGTTTATATTTATTAGTTTACAAAAATGGATCTTATGAATCTATAAAGAAAAATGACCTCATGAGTTGTGCCAGGAAAAAAGGTACACTCAATGCATGGGGCTCTTGTGAAAACTGATAATCTTGCCATTTTCATATAAATGGTGTAATATAGGTTTATATTTATTAGTTTACAAAAATGATTCTTATGAATCTATAAAGAAAAATGACCTCATGCATGAGTTGTGCCAGAAAAAAGGTACAGTCAATGCATGGGGCTCTTGTGAAAACTGATAATCTTGCCATTTTCATATAAATGGTGTAATATAGGTTTATATTTATTAGTTTACAAAAATGGATCTTATGAATCTATAAAAACTACCCCTCCGCCCTGACCCTAGCTATCTTTAAAATTTAATTTAATGCCAGTTTTTGAGTATGTTCTTTGTTCTTTCTCAAATAAATATATTATTTATATATTAAGAAAGCAGGAATAGATGCATCCATATCAAACTAATAATTCCTAACATATGTTATTAAAACTGTTACCAAGACATTTTATCATTGAAAATAAATATTTGTTTATATAAAACGAGAAACCCATATTATCTTTTGATAGTTTA